TATATTTGATTTAAAATAATATTTCTATCATTAATTTAAAAGTTGTGATTTTGAAGAAGTTATCATTTTTTTAAAATTCGATGAAAATGATTTTCTTAAAAAGAATAAATTTAAATTAGGAGTTGATATTTAAAACATAACTTTGTTTTTTTCTTTTTTTTCATTTCTTTCAAAAGCGAAATCACATGCTTTTGATCTAATTTAAAATCATTCTTAAGTTTAAAAATTTTTTTAAGAAAATCAAAAATGATATTTGCATATAGAAAATAAATTAGTATATTTTTTAAATTATTAATTATTAAGTCTTCTAAAAAATTACTATTATAAACTTATAATTCATAATTAATTATAAAACTATTTTTCTTTGAAAAACAAAAACAATCCTTTAAAGTGAAAAAAATAAAAGAGAAATTTTTTGTTTTTCCATCTTTTAGTTTCATATTAAGAAAATCCAAATTTAAAATGTATATTTTGATTATATAAATTCAATAGATTTCATTTTATAATCTAATAATTTCTAATAATTATTATTGTTAATTGTTCAAAACTCAAACAATACTAATTTTAAGTGTGAGATGAATCAAGAAATATAGCTATTTATATGCAAAATAGTCCTCATTAGTAATTTAAAATGTCCTAATAATTATAATATGATTGAATATATTATAGGAGATTAATAAATACAACTAAAATAACATTAGACAAAAAACATGAGTAATGATACACAAATATCACGTCTACCTGAATATTAGATAAGAAAAGAAAACTAAAATTAATAACTTTTAGATTTTAATCAATCCCAATCAGAATCTCTATAGCAAAATTATGGTTTTGAATATATTGATTATAAAATTGAAGATTAGTTGATAGAACCTTCATTTCAATCTGAATTATTAAATTGCATTTCTTCAACCGAAAATTGTGATGATTCTCAGCAAGAATATTAATTTGATCAATTCAATACTTTGGTAGAAACAAATTTCTTAATTAATCTAAAATTTATGTTGAAACATCCACTAAACTACAAAATTTCTATAACACCTTTATGATTAATTAATTGTCATTTTTATATAATATGTAAACAATTGCTATAATAATTTAAAACATAAAAAATAATCAATTAAAATTCAGAATTTGGGCATAAATTTGTATAGTTTTTGATGTATCATCCCAAGAAATCAGATAACTTCCATCATCATTCATTGTTCCAAATAATAAATAATCATCCATTTCAATACTTTATTATAATAAAAATTCTATTTTGTTTTCTTTTTAATAAATTGTTATTAAATTTAAATATTTTCCATTTTTTGAAAGTAGAAGACCTTTACTAGGGCAATAAATAGATGGAAATAAACTTACACAGGATTCATCACCACCTTAAATTTAAATACATGTAGTTTTGATGTATTATTTACTTTCTTCGTTTAGTTTATAAACTTCAAAATAAGGTTAGCTTCTTGGCTAAAAGGTGAAAATATCTTCAGTGATAAAAGAAAGACGATAACCAAAATATTAAGTCATTATTTTCTATATCACTATCCAGCTTTGAGATTCATTATTATATTCTATAATTAAAATTAATTAATCATGACCACAAGAGATAACTTTATTACCAGTATTATTAATTGACAATGAATAAACCCAATTTACATGCTCTTAAATTGTTTATTAATAATAAATTTTAGCTTCATTAAAATTATATGACCAAAACTTTATATTATTGTCACCACTACCAGAGATAATTAAATTTTCAACTCGATTGAATATTAAGCAAGTTATGGGATTTGAGTGAGCTTATATTTTATGATGAGATATCCATTTGAGTTTTAAACTTTCTTTATCTTTTCTGGATTATTAACATGACCAAATAATGATAGTTAAATCACGAGATCCAGATATAAAAGAATAAATTATTGTTTTGAAAAAACTCAATGTAGTTACATCATCAGAATGTTCTTTTAGAATCTAAATTTCTTTCATCTTTAATAACTTTGGGTTAAATTTGTAAATCTTTATCTTAGAATTCGATCCAGCTATTATTAATGAGTTTTCTTTATTCATTGATATGCTATAACATTTTTCCTCTTTTTCAAACCATCCATTTAACTTTGTTGAAGATACTTTTTTGAAATTAAATGATTTTAAGTTCATGATTTAATTTTTATATTATTCATTCTAACATCTATTTAAAATATCTGTTAAATACAATTTTTCTTATTACTTTTGAAAATATTCATAAAAAGTTGTTTTAATCCTCTATATTGAAAAAAATATCAACTAAAACTTTCAAATATTGCTCATTGGAAGTTTAGATATACTAATGATAATTTCTCTTCCTTCAAAAAATCTTTAGAAATTAAATTAAACAAATATTTTCTTTCTTTAAAAAAAAAAATAACTTCAATTTACAATTATTAATTATTGGGAAATTATTTGTTCTAAAAATTGCTACATTATTATAATTTCAATTGTTTGCCAAAAGCATTTTTATTAAATGTTAGATTAGTTTTATTTTTATTGAAAATTCTACTTCAAATGATTCATTCTTTTTCACTATAAAAAATGCAGTTCAAAAATTAATTATTATTTACTTGCCTCATAAAAAAGTAATTTAATTAATTAAATAATATTATAATAAAATAATTTAAAAATTTTAATAATGTTTAATGTGATTATATAATAGTTAGTAAAGTAAATGAGTATTTTTTATCATATTTATTTAGTTAAGAGTAATTTATCATTTAGTTTTTAATGTAAATCTCTTAGAGAACCTTTAATTTAAAATATCATATAATGAAGAAAATTTTTTATAATAACCAAAATTTAATTGATACATTATTCTTAATTCATTGTTTTAATTGAATATAATATTGGTGTAGAACATTAAATTGTTTTTAAAAGATTTTTATAATAAACACATTGTAACATTTGAATTAATTTGATAATTATATGTTCAAATATTAGTAATAATTAATGGTTCTTTAACTACCAATTGAATAAAGAATTGATAAATCTTACATACTCTTGCGCACTCCACAAGGTGAAGAAATCCTAAAAAGACTCAGGCAAATTTAAATGGCGGTTAATTAGAAATTAAAATAAAAAGTTGAGTTTTAAAAATTCGAGAACAATTAAGGAGAGAAGATTTGTATAATTACAACATAAATTGCAAGAATTAAAGCAAAAGTAGAAAGATGAATTTGTAGTCTTAGGTGATTTGCAAAGTTAATTAAAACAAAAAGTACAAAACAAAATCAAAATTAAAAATTCAAATAATTATTAAGTGATATTGAGAATTAGGATTGTAAGAGTTTTTTTATATTAAATAGTCAGAGAAATAATGATTGATGATAAGACAATAGAAGAAAGTTTGAATTCAATATTTTTAGAACATTTTACTAAAAATTAAGCATTATTAAAAGAATAAGCAGAGTAGATAAAATATGCAAAAGAAGTTTATGAATAATAATATCGTGAACAATACCATTCATGAATTCCAGCTTTTAGAGTTAAAGATTAATTGCTCTCAGATTTTGGATAAGTGGCTTCAAGAATTCAATCAGATAATATTTGAGAAAAATTTGAAGTTATAAAAATGATATATCAATTATTAATTTATATTTGCAAAAGACTATAATTAAAATAAAATCTACGTATATGATAGAATAGAGTAGTTTTAATACAGTAGAGGTAATAAAGAAGAATTAGAAATGAATCAATTAATTCATAACTTTTTTAAGAATTGATAATTTGATATAAAACAATCCCAATAATATTGTTTTATTCTCTCAAAAAATTAGTAAAAGTATCATATAACTCTAACAATTATATTGAAAAGAAGTTTTCTAAATATTTGAAATTTTAATAAATTTTTGATTTAGAATTAGATGCTAAATTTGTGAAGATTGATAAATTAGTACAAAAATTAGAATCTGTACAGCCCAAATACATGATCATTCTGAATTATTGTTTTTACAGCAATATAAGCTACGCTATTGAATTTACAGAGCAAGAATCATTTTAATTATAATAATAATCTACTGTAAATCTTGTTCTAATATAATATGAGTAATCTACCTATCTAGCATTACATAGATTATGAAACAAAAATTATTATCTTTATGAAATATGAAAGAATTTTTTATTACTTTATAAATAAGGAAGTAAATATTTAGAGGTTTATAAATAACGTTTTCACATTTAAAGAAGATTACTACTATTCTAATAGATCGAGAAGTTCAACTAAATTATTATTTCAAGCTTCCATTCTAGGAAAATGAAGAAAAAAGAATATTTATTTCAATTTGAGATTGTTCTGGGTAAAGAAAAAGGCCTAATTATCAATAGTAATTACTTTCGACACCAATGTAAAAGTTTTGTTTCCAAATGAAAATATTTCTTCTCGTATTAACTAATATAGTGGAGGAAGTATAATTTAAATTATTTATTTGAACGATGTAAATACTACTCAGACATTCATTGCTTAAAATTCAAAGTGATGATAATAAATTTTCCAATCCACTTTTTAATGAGTCTTAGATCTCTCTATCATAGAGGAGATTTATAAATAGTTGACGTTCATGATTAAACAAATTAGAATAGAGATCTATATTTAAATCGACTATTTAAGGAGAATCCGAATCGATAGTTCACAAAATAAAATATGTTATGATATTAGGATAGGCTTTTACTTGTTATAGAACATTTAATTACTTTGAATAAAAGGAAATATAAAAAAGAAGCCCAAATAGCACTCTCAGAATTAGAGAGATTATCAAATTCTACACCAAAGTTTCAGAATTAAAAGAAAAGACATTTGCTCAAAGAATATATGAATTAAAATAATTCATACAAGATTTCTAATTAATTAAATTATAAGGATACAGTTGATAGATTAAAAATTGGAACTAAATTGGTAAATTCTACAATAAAGGGATTATCAATAAATGGGTTGTAATGCTAAATAAGAATTCATAGAATGTTTTAAAAATAACACAAATTCCTTGGTAATGATGGAGATATGGTAATAATTGACCTTTCAAAAATATGATTCAAAAAAAAATGTCGAACTCCATTTTTCAAAGCAAGCGAATTAGAGGGTATTGAATTTCCTTATACGATTTATTTATAAATTTGACATCATTCATTAGAGGGTACAAAAAGAAGAGAAAAAATGAAAACCTGTTAACACAAAGATAATCATATAAGAAATATTTTGAAGCTGATTTAGAGAAGATTGTTTCAAATGCACAAAAATCTTTATCTTTGAACCAATTTTGATATTACTCTCATTAGTAAATATTTAATTAGATAATAAAATCAATTGACTATAATTAGACATATTTGTAATATTATTAATCCTAATCAATTCATTTTTATTTGTTATACTTAAAAACTTTCCAAAAAATAACTACCTTAGATTTCATTAATGATTTTAAATCAAAACCTTAATGATTCACAAATTATCCTTACAGAATTAGAGTTCCTTTTGATTCANTTGCAAAAGACTATAATTAAAATAAAATCTACGTATATGATAGAATAGAGTAGTTTTAATACAGTAGAGGTAATAAAGAAGAATTAGAAATGAATCAATTAATTCATAACTTTTTTAAGAATTGATAATTTGATATAAAACAATCCCAATAATATTGTTTTATTCTCTCAAAAAATTAGTAAAAGTATCATATAACTCTAACAATTATATTGAAAAGAAGTTTTCTAAATATTTGAAATTTTAATAAATTTTTGATTTAGAATTAGATGCTAAATTTGTGAAGATTGATAAATTAGTACAAAAATTAGAATCTGTACAGCCCAAATACATGATCATTCTGAATTATTGTTTTTACAGCAATATAAGCTACGCTATTGAATTTACAGAGCAAGAATCATTTTAATTATAATAATAATCTACTGTAAATCTTGTTCTAATATAATATGAGTAATCTACCTATCTAGCATTACATAGATTATGAAACAAAAATTATTATCTTTATGAAATATGAAAGAATTTTTTATTACTTTATAAATAAGGAAGTAAATATTTAGAGGTTTATAAATAACGTTTTCACATTTAAAGAAGATTACTACTATTCTAATAGATCGAGAAGTTCAACTAAATTATTATTTCAAGCTTCCATTCTAGGAAAATGAAGAAAAAAGAATATTTATTTCAATTTGAGATTGTTCTGGGTAAAGAAAAAGGCCTAATTATCAATAGTAATTACTTTCGACACCAATGTAAAAGTTTTGTTTCCAAATGAAAATATTTCTTCTCGTATTAACTAATATAGTGGAGGAAGTATAATTTAAATTATTTATTTGAACGATGTAAATACTACTCAGACATTCATTGCTTAAAATTCAAAGTGATGATAATAAATTTTCCAATCCACTTTTTAATGAGTCTTAGATCTCTCTATCATAGAGGAGATTTATAAATAGTTGACGTTCATGATTAAACAAATTAGAATAGAGATCTATATTTAAATCGACTATTTAAGGAGAATCCGAATCGATAGTTCACAAAATAAAATATGTTATGATATTAGGATAGGCTTTTACTTGTTATAGAACATTTAATTACTTTGAATAAAAGGAAATATAAAAAAGAAGCCCAAATAGCACTCTCAGAATTAGAGAGATTATCAAATTCTACACCAAAGTTTCAGAATTAAAAGAAAAGACATTTGCTCAAAGAATATATGAATTAAAATAATTCATACAAGATTTCTAATTAATTAAATTATAAGGATACAGTTGATAGATTAAAAATTGGAACTAAATTGGTAAATTCTACAATAAAGGGATTATCAATAAATGGGTTGTAATGCTAAATAAGAATTCATAGAATGTTTTAAAAATAACACAAATTCCTTGGTAATGATGGAGATATGGTAATAATTGACCTTTCAAAAATATGATTCAAAAAAAAATGTCGAACTCCATTTTTCAAAGCAAGCGAATTAGAGGGTATTGAATTTCCTTATACGATTTATTTATAAATTTGACATCATTCATTAGAGGGTACAAAAAGAAGAGAAAAAATGAAAACCTGTTAACACAAAGATAATCATATAAGAAATATTTTGAAGCTGATTTAGAGAAGATTGTTTCAAATGCACAAAAATCTTTATCTTTGAACCAATTTTGATATTACTCTCATTAGTAAATATTTAATTAGATAATAAAATCAATTGACTATAATTAGACATATTTGTAATATTATTAATCCTAATCAATTCATTTTTATTTGTTATACTTAAAAACTTTCCAAAAAATAACTACCTTAGATTTCATTAATGATTTTAAATCAAAACCTTAATGATTCACAAATTATCCTTACAGAATTAGAGTTCCTTTTGATTCAAATATTGATATTTTATATATTGATTTATTAATTCTATATTCTTAAAGATTCAAGCTAAGCACGAGTTCATATGATTTAAAATTTGTTGATTTTACCTTTATTTTAATAAAATCTTAATACCATAAGATTTTTGTTTTTGTCTTAACTTTAATGCATAAGATACTTATGATTCATAATATAAAACCTAATATAAAAGTAACAGAAATTCAATATTATTGAAAAAAAAATAAAGGAATGGAATAGAAAGAAGATTTGTTTGATTTGTTAGCTTCATCAAAAGTTGTGGACTAATCAATGTACGAGGCGACAATTAAACTGTTGAGAAAAGAAAATGTGTCTGATTGTTTAAAATATCTTTCAGATTAGGAAAATCTCTCAAGTTGTTTATAGTCCATTTACAAAGCAATGGTTAAAACTAAAGTTAATTAAGAAGAGGTGGCGAAAAATTAAATGTAGATAATGATGAATATTTTACAAAAAGTTAAAGATCATGACTTTAATAACAAAAATTATTGTGAAGACCTTTATGAAGAATTTAGAAAAGATCTAATCAAAAAAATAAAAAAAATTGAGAAAATAATAGAATTGTTAAAATTTTTAGTGCAACTTACAACTTTAGATGAACAATTTATTCAATGTGGGTCAAATGCGCTTTATTTATTAGTGCAAATGAAGGTTGATCTTACCAACAAAAGCTTTGAAGATATTAGAATTAAAAATACAAGTTTGATAGGTGCAAATTTTGTCAAATGTAATTTGAGTGGATCAATATTCGAGAATGTAGACATTAGTGGAGTGAATTTAAATAGTGCTCTCCTTTTAAATTGCAAGTGGAAGTATATGAAAATTAATGAGCTTAATAAATTGGATGGTCATACAAGAAGTGTACATTCAGTGTGTTTCTCACCAAATGGAACTACTTTAGCTTCAGGTAGTTGGGATAAGTCAATCCGATTATGGGATGTTAAGACAGGATAATAAAAAGCTTAATTAGATGGTCAATGCGTGGGGAATGTGATTTGTTGCGGTTTAAATGGTATATCTCCTATATACTGGTACGATCTGTAGGTTGCTCTCCTTTTGGCCTGAGTTATTTTTCAAAGGGGGGGGTATTGGTATTTAGCGAAGATTTTTGATACCTACCATAATGAAGATTTTTGGTAGTACAAGGGAAATTTAAAAAATCTATTTTAGGTTTTTAAAAAATGAAATTTTGAAAAATGAAGGGATAAACTTTTTTTATTTACTTTTTTTTTCTATTGGGTTTGGGTTTTGGGTTTGGGTT